CGACGGTCCCCCCCGCCCCCCCTTCGCCCCTGCACCGCCGCCGGGAGCTGCCAGCTTTGGGAGACTCGGCGCCTCGACTTTCTTCGCTTCTTCACCCTTCTTGGGCGAGCCCCCCCTTTCACTTGCTTTTTTCTTTTCTTTCTCGCTTTCCTCCTCAAGGTGTGTGCTCCACTACCCCCACCTTTGAAAAATACAGCCCAACTCCTCCTGGTTGGCAATTAATTTCTCTCCCCGCTCCTTTATCTGCCCTATCCCCCCTCTTAACAGCTGGTTGCCTTCCTCCTTGTTTTATTTCATTTTATTTTATATGATTTCTCGCTCTACCAAAAAAAAAAAAAAAGCTCCTCTAAGACACTGCTCTGCTGAATTCCCTCCCCCCAAAAGATGCTCTAATTTATTTATTTTTTGCGTCCTTTATAACACAAGCCACAGCCCCCTTCTCCCCCCACCGGTCCCCCCTCCCCTCCCTCCTTCTTCACAAAATGAAAGGAAAGGGGGGGAAATCTCTCAGAAGATGAGTAAACAAGCGTATGCTAATCTGCTCCCGAGCGCTCCACCTTCCCAATTGAATGAGTCCCTGTTAAAACTGCGGGGATCATGACTAATCAATCAGTTTGGAGAGGCCAAGCTACGCAGCCTGCCTCTACTTTGCCGTTTGCCTCTTTCCTTCGCTCCCGCTTCTCCACCCCCCCTCTTTTTTTTTTTTTTTAAGAAGACAATCTTAAAGTAACAATTTAATGAAATTCTGTACACACCCCCTTATGGTCCTCCCAACTCTCCCCATTCCTGCTCAAAACACACACACATTCCTGTTTTTGTTTTGGTTTGCTTGCGTTTGTCCCCTCCTTCATCCCCCCTCCTCATCATTATTTTTCCCCCTCCTGGAGGGAGAGGAAAAAAAAAAAACACCTCTCTCTTCTCTCAGGATCTCCTTTGCACTTTGCTGGTAAACCTCATCCTTCGCTATAGCACATAAAGAGTCTTGAAACTTGATTCTCAGATTTTTTTTTTAAATGCTGTTTCTCCCTTTCACTCTCTCCTCTCTCTCTCTCTCTCTCTCTCTCTCTCTCTCTCTCTCTCTCTCTCTCTCTTCAGCCCCTTTCCCTCCCTCTTCCTCTCCCCCTTTCCCTTCTCTCTTGCCTTTCCTAGCCTTCCCTCCCTTTCTCCTTCTCAGAATTCCCTTGAAGTTATGCAATGATGAAAGTCCCCCTTCTTCCCTGAGCCCCTGTGTTGCTGGCTTCAGCAGGTCCAAAAGCTGCCCTCCTGGATTCGGAACAAGAAACCCCGAGGAAAGGCATTTTCCAAGGCATTTGCCTTTCAGAAGCTGTGGACTCAGCACAGCCAGGTCTCTCACTTTTCCCGAATACTCTCAAAAAATATTCTGTTGGTTGTTAGACATTATTTTTGTTTAATATTGAAAAATGAGAATGAAATATTAATTTGCCTATTTTTTAAAAAATCAACCTGAGAAATTCAGGTTCTCTAACATTGTTCACGTCCCAGGTAAGGATCTGACCAATGTGCTGCTTTGTAGGACTGTTTTGAACTGGCACATAGATGTAATGTATTTTTGTTCTTCTTGTTCCCCCTCTTTATAGAACTCAAAAGCTCCCCCTTATGGCAAAAACGGTTCTTTCCTTTTTTTTTTCATCCAAGTGTATAATAAGTCAAAATGAGTTAGCAGTGGTGGATTACACATTATTACCAGTCTGTTCAAATAATGTAGTGATAAAAATATGCTGTGTGAGGTTTGCATGTGGATAGCATGCTGGAAGCCTGGGGGTGAAATGTACTCCACCAATGTGCCACTTTCCTCCCCATGTGCTCTGGTCCTCAGGGCTGCTCCAGATGCTATCTGAGAGCTGGGCTCATTCCTACTCTTCAGGGAGAGGGAACACCAGTGGAGAATAAGTGGTTGTGAAACTCTGCAGAGTTGTAGAATGAGCAAGTGAGTCAGACATCCCCTCTATAAAAGCCAGAATGCAGCATGCAGGGATTATGACACCATTCTGAAAACAGGAGAGCCCAGATTCAGATCTTGGTTTGGAAGAAACATGCCATATAGTCCTGGGCCAAGAATGTTTGAACTCAGTTTCTCCAGTTATAAAATGAAAATGGCATCCTATTCTACATGTGTTTCCAGAGACTGGGTGGAAAGAAGTGCTATGGATAAGGAATTTGCTTAAGCAAATCTTTCAATTTCTGCAGCGCCAAGTCATCTAGAAAAGCCATGAGGTTGCCATTCAATTTAAAAAAATAGGAAAAAAGAAAACCTATATTGAACTACATAAATTATGTCTCACAAAATCCCTCTCTTTCCCCAGTAAAAGTTGGAAGATGCCTACTAATTCACTTCAATTGTGGCAGTCATTTGGAAACTCTATTTCTTCCAGGGGCTTCTAAGTCACTGTATACAATGGTTTTGAATATTTCTAGACGTTTGGAGCTTTGTCAACTCTTCCAGGAAGTCAGAACACGAGGGCTATAGTTCTTAGTCCCCACTCACTCCAACACATGTCAGTGCTATGCCCTGAGTTGCTTCGCTAGCCCTTCACTTTCTCACCTTTAAAATGGGAATAGGCATTTCACAATATAATTTGAGGAAAAAATATGCTCTTCAACCATACAAATGCTATATAAACACCATTTAATCTACTGCCATTGTCAAGGACTAAGAGCTCCTTAGGTTCTTAAAGACAAACAACATTCTGGGAGCCCAGGCTTTCATTGATGTCGTGTGGCAGCACAAAGAGGAAGGGACAGAGAGATCCACGTCTCAGCTACTGGAGCCGCTAGACTCAGTCCCTAAACGTATTTGGGAGCAATTGCCAAAGCCTTGGACTGGTCTTTCATGGAATATCCATTTATTATTCTATCCCACCTGTCTTGGAAGCCACTCTTACTTTATGCATGTATGTATCTATGTATGAATGTATTCTGTATGTGTGTGTTTGGTTTTGACTGAGTGGACAGACTGGGTAAATTGTAACCTTTGGTTCATGATCCACTGTAATCATTGGCCTATGCATGGCATTCTTATTTATTTACACGTATGTAATAAGGGATATGTCACATGCTGCTAACCCTCTTTTACTCCCTTCCTTGATCTTTCATTATCTGTAGTCAAGGAGCAATCATCTGAGAGTGAGGAGACTTGGGTTCTCGTTCTGAGCTGTGTGAGATCTTGGAGCTCAGTTTGCTCTTACGTGAAATGAAAGAACAGGAGTTGAAGATTCCTAAGGTCGCTCCCAAATATGAAGTGGAATGGAGCTTTTGATTATTGCAGTGTGACAATAATTCCCATTTAATCATTCCCATTTAATCATACTTGGTCAATTCCCTCTCACCCTCCCCCCACCCCAGGGAGTCCCTTCTTCCTGGGGATTTTTGTCCTAAAAACTACTTTTTTAGAATAAAAATAGTTCTGTCCCTCCACTCTTATTACTTGGTAATAAATAAAAACAAGATGTTTTGCCAGGGAAGGGGTCAGGATCTAGTGGAAGTTAGGAGAGTAACACCTAGTGGAGTCTTAAAGTTTAGGGAGGGTTTGAGTGAGTGAGTGAGTTTCAAAGTACACATTTCAGAGTCACCCTGCCCTGGGTTCCTATGACCTCCAGCAAGCAAGTCTAGTGGCCTTATTATGGATGTGTCCTGAGGATAGTGTGCTGTGACACATAGTAGGTGCTCAATAAATGAGTGCCCTCTCTTTCTTTACAGGGATCTAAATACTATGGCCTGCTGTGCTTTCACCAGTTTCCATTTAGAGCCAGAGCCCCGCCTACTTCTTACTCAAAGGCAGAAGGATTAGTCTCATCTCAGAATTCCTAGGCAGGCATTGTCTGGCTGGTAGGATCTGGAACTCGATTATATCAGATCTTGCATTGTTCTCTGTGTCCTGTTTATGTCTCTCCTCCAAGATTAGAACCCTTCCAGGGCAAGGATCTTCAAGGGCCACTTCTGCCACCACATCACTCCTCCACTAGCCTGAAGGGCTCCCTCATCTGGGCTGTCCTAGAACTTCCTCTGAATTTCTCTGGGCACATCCCCAAAACCAACTATTAACATTTAATTACACACGTGCTTGTCTCCCCTTTCTGTGTGGACAAAGATTCTGTTGCATTCATATTTGTGTATAGCCAAATGCTTAGCCCAGCACTTTGCACATAGCTCCTGGTTTAGTACCATTAAATTTAATTAAATATGTATATATAAATGCACACATATATAGATCTACACATATGTGTACATTTATATAGATGTAAAAATGTATGTTTTTTGCTTCTTTAGTTTTTTCTGTGGTGCCAATATGTTTAATGCTCTGAACATACTAGGTTTTTAATAAATACGTAATTTTGCCAGCCTTTCCCAAGTGATACATCTGTGGACACCCAGACAGACACATTGAAGTTCATTGGCTGCCCAAGTTGAAAGTCACTAGAAAGAATGTGAACTTGGGAGTAGAAGAAATTTGGATT